CAACAGAAATAAAATTTGTAAGCAAACAACCGCATAATTGGATACACGTAAATAATTGTGTAATACTACTCAGTAGTATCTTCTGATAACTACTGTGGCAGACGAATTCGGACAAGGTGCGTTCTACTAAGTCGCCCCGACAACAACACCAAATTGTGACGACGAGGTCAACCGACTTTCATAAATCGAAAGGATACTGCTACAACAACTTGGTCTTCATATCTTCAATTCAACTTTGGTGAATACGGCTCATAAATCAGATTCTCCTCAAATGAACCTGTTGTTCTTCAGTTTATTTTATATGTACCGTTAATATAGACACTACTATTATTTATAGAGTAGCTAGTTATTTTGAATTTGTTACCGAAGAGTTTCGTCAAGTTACGAAGCCACTTGTCCTGACCTCTCAATCTAGAGACATTAAAGTTCAACCTTCCACGGAAATGCATGACTGGGGTTGCGTAATTTGGCACGTCTGGTTTGGTTGATGAGCTTAATGCAACATGTTGGGCGAGTGTGAGTGAAGTTGGAACCATCATCGAGCAGACCAGTTGAGTCACCTTCTTTGGAATGGCGATTCAACACACACTCTCTCTCTCTCTCATTCAATCTATCAATCAAGCATAAGTAATTCCTACTCAACTTTCTACCACAGTTTCTCACATTCAGCGTATTTCCTAAACCATTTATTTTATCTTTCTTGTAACCACAGACTTAGCATAATCAGCAAACCTACTAGTTTGAGACCATTTTTTTGATGTCCAGTTTCTACCATGTGCTCTGCCACTTCTGACAGTTGGCTCCAGCTTCCATTACAAGCATTTTTGTGTTCTCCCAATCTTTGTCGAATAGGTCGGCATGTCTCACCAACATGACATCGACCACATGAGCCGGATCTCAAAAATGGGTCATATTTCTGTCTAAAAGATGGCATAACAGAAGAAAGTTCGATGGTTTCTTTGAACACTGCTTTTGTCCCTCATTTTCTTTCTAATTCGCCTAACTTTGTTGAGAGAAGGCATGGAGGCAAAATTTGGACCTGGGAGCAGTCCTCAGTCTATCTATCTTTAATTAAATTGTGCATTATTTTAATCAGGCTGAATAAGCATTGATATTGGTTTGGCTCCGAATGTCATTCTTATCGAAGTGGGCAAGTGGAGAAACACGTGAGAGGTAATGAACGGATAAAGAGGAAAGTAGAACGGGGAAGGAGGAGGAGAGGGAGGCGAAGGAAGGAGGGAAGGGGGAATAGGTAGAGTAGTGTGAAAATAAAAATGATGATAAAAGTTAGGAGCAATAAAAGTAATAAGAGGAAGCCCATAAGTAGGAAATAAGGAGAAAAAAGGTCGATGGGGAAGAAGAGGAGAGAGAGAGAGAGAGTAGGAGAAATAAAAGGAGAATGAGGAAAAGAATACGGGAAAGACGGAGAGGGAGAGAAATAGAATGAAAAGGCAATAGAGGAGAAAGGTGAGGAAATTGAGCAGCAAGATGCAAGAAAAGGAGAATGAGCAAGTGTCATGTTTGTGTGTATATTTGTGTGTGTGTGTGTGTGTGTTTGTTTGTCTTACCCGTGCATCCGGTTGCGCTCGCGTGTGTTGGCTCGCACTCTCCGAATGCGCAGACGTACTTCACGCTCTTTCGTGAGTGGCTTCTTCTTGGGGCCTCGTTTCTTGGGCATCCGCACGGGCTCATCGAATTGCGGCCTCGCGACGCCGGACTCGTCGACCGGCCGCCTCGACAGCGCATCTGCCGGCGTGTGGAAGTCCGTCGTCGTGTTGGTGGGCAGGTCGGAGACGAGTCCCGCTGCGCCGGTGGGGCTCGAGCAGGCGCCGACGAGGCCGAGGCGAGTCGCCTCGTCGGCCGGTCGGCAGATCGTCTTTCCGGCACGGCCTCGAGCCCGACTCGTCCTTCGCGACTCTCGCTCCAGCCCGTCTGCTTCGTCCGTCTCGGCTTTGGCTTTCTCTTCGCAAGACCGACTGGCCGACCGCGACTCTCCTCGGTCCTGGCGTCTTCGCGTCGCTCCACCCCGACCGCCTCGACCACTACCACCACCACCAACAACAACAACAACACCAACAACGCTGTCCTCGATACTGCCCGAGGTGCAATTGTCTGCAGGAGGGGATGCAAAGGGGGCAAGAGCCAATGGGAACATGGGAAGACAAGAGTCACCAGTGATTGGTCAGATTCGGCTCGACTCGGCCTTTCTTATTCAAATCGGCCTTAAAGCGCACAGACATTGTACCGCCCAACAACGGCCCAACTGCCCGATCGTCCTTGATGGTGTCTTGTAACTCTGATGTCATGTGGCTGGGTCGCCTTCCTCTCCCCTTCAAAAGTCACATCAATCTGCAATCATCGCTACTCTTCACACTCTTTCTCTCTCTCACACACACACACACACATACACACGCAAACACACAAAGACACAAGGGCCTTGTTGTCGCAACTTTGTCAAAACGACAATGAAACCTTGTGAAAGGTGCCCGGTGGTTGAGCTTACTTCCATTTCGAGTGAAAGTGTTGGGTGACGAGATTCGAAGGTCGCTTCCACCAAAAGGCGACTGGCTGTCGATTCATGTTGACGCTGTTTCCGAGGCAATCTTCTTCGATTCCGGTGAAAAGGTGACAAGCTCTCGTACGTCATTCGACGAACATGATCAGAACAAGGTGGGTATCATCTGCACAACCAAATTTAACCCATCGAGTCAAGAAAACTCACCGGCAAATTCCTAAAAAGTGGTATCTATACTCGTCATCTGGCCTGTTTGATCAAGTATAAAGTGATTTGGTTAGTTACGGTCAATGTCAACTTCGATGTCTGTGAGTGTGTCTGTCTCTGTATTTGTATTTGCCTGTTTGTGACATAATGACCTTAACTAACCAAATCACTTTATACTTGATCAAAGAGGCCAGATGTAGAGTTTAGATACCACTTTTTAGGCATTTGCCGGTGAGTTTTCTTGACTCGTTAGCTTCAATTTTGTTGTGACGATGTTACCTCGGAATCGACCTTCGAATCTCTTCACGCAACACTTTCACTCGAAATGGAAGTAAGCTCAACAATAATGAAAGAAGAGATTCCTCGAAACCCAAC